GATGATGATGATGATGATGATGATGATGATGATGATGATGTGATGATGATGATGACGATGCTGGTGATGGATGATGATGAGGAGGAGGAGGAGGAGGAGGAATGCGGAGAGGAAGAGGAGGAGGAGGAGGAAGAGGAGGAGGAAGGGGGGGGGTGTGAGAAGGAAGGAGGAGGAGCAAAATGAGATATGATGATGAGGATGATGATGATGATGATTGATGATGATGATGATGATGATGATGCTGAATGATGATGAGATGATGATGATGAGGGAGGAGGCGAGGAGGAGGAGGAAGGAGGAGGAGGCGGAGGAGGAGAGGAGGAGCAGTGAGGAGGAGGAGGAGGGGAGGAGGAGGAGAGGAGGAGGAGGAGGGGGAGCAGGAGCAGGGAGGAGGAGGAGGAGGAGGAGGTAGGAGGAGGAGGAGAGAGGAGGAGCAGGAGCAGGACAGGACAAGGACCAGGACCAGGAGCAGGAGCAGGGGGAGGAGGAGGAGGAGGAGGAGAGGAGGAGGAGGAGGGGAGGAGGAGGAGGAGGGGGAGGAGGAGGAGGAGAGGAAGGAGGAGGAGGAGGCGGAGGAGGAGGAGGAGAAGGAGGAGGAGGAGGAGGAGCAGGAGCAGGAGCAGGAGCAGGAGCAGGAGCAGGGGGAGGAGGAGGAGGAGGAGGAGGTGGAGGAGGAGGAGGAGGATGAGGAGGATGAGGATTAGGAGGAGGAGGAGGAGGGAGGAGGAGCAGGAGGAGAAGCCTGGGGGGGCGAGGGGGGTGGCCTCCCGAGGAGGCAGGGGGCGTCACTTAGGGAGCCCTTCGCCGAGCTGCCAGAAGCCCTCGGAGAAGCCGCGTCCCTTCTAAGAGGCCCTCCGCCTTCCTGGAGTTCAGTCGGGCCTGTCCCTCTACAGGAGGACTCTTGAAGAATGGTTACAAAAATACTCAGGGGACGATTTTCCGTGCTCTTCTGATGCTTCTTTGATTCTGGTTGGACTATTTTCGATTTATCTTCCCACATCCGCCTGTGGGAGGACATGCCCAGACCTAATCCTAGAGGGCTGGTCCCCTCACGCCACCCTCTTCTGTCGGGACGATCGAAGTGGGTATGGAAAGAATGGGTACGATGCCCAACGGCAGTTCCTGCTCATCTTGAACAGGACTCGCTGTCCGCGCCGCCGCGGACGTTGTTGACTAAAGACACATAGCCGCCTGCCCAACAGCGGCCGCTGTCGATTTTGGACAACCTGTGCTATTGGGCATTGCACCAACTTTCTCCGTTCCCATTCCCAGACATTCGTCGTCCTGATTTTTCCTGGACGCGTCCCCGGAAGTCCAGACCTTTTCCCCTGGGCAGGTTTTTCATCCTGAGTCGTTTTTTGACGCTCCTGGGGACCAGCGAGGGCCCCCAGGGGCCGAACAAAACGAAAAACTTGCCGTCCTGCTTTTTCATCGACGCGATCGTGTTTGGGTTTCGGGCGGATCTTCTGCGCGCTGCCAGCGAGGGCTACTCCCAGGACGAAGAGGTCGACAGGATGACGGCGTACATCGCCCGGGCGAGGCAGCAGGCCACCCCGGCGGAGGCGCCGGCCGTGGCGCACCGCCTCGTGGAGAAGGCGGGCCCGGGCGTGGAGTGCCCGCACTGCAACCGCGTCAACCGCTGAGGCGATCGGCAGAGCGTGGCGCCGGGCTCGAAGCATCGAGGCTCGACTGGTCAGTGCCCCTCGAAGAAGAAGAAGCAGACACACACACACAGATGCATACACTTTTGGCGCTCCGCGCGGGTTTCTCGGGTCCGCGCCGGGGGCCCCCTGGCGGCGCCTCTGGCGCCGCCCCTGGCGCGCTCCACGGGCCGTGGAGGGGGGCCCAGCGCGGATCCAAGACATCCGCGCGGAGTGCCAAACATTTATGTTTCTGTGTTTGCTTTCTCTTTCTGGCCCCAAAATCTGGGCCCAGATGGGGTCCGAGTAGATGGGGTCGGATGATCGCGCCGCATCGCCAGTGCGTCGGCGATGCGGCTCGATGTGGAGCCCGATTTTCTCCACGCTGGAGCTGCCGATGCATCGCCGATGTCGCCGATGCGTCGCCGATGCATCGGCGATATATCGCCGATCTATTGGCGATGCGGTGCGATCCTCCGACCCCATCTGCTCCGACCCCATCTAGGAGGCCTCTAACTTATCGACTGGTCAGTGCCCACACACGGGGTGCCGCAATTGGCATCGTTGCCGCTCTGTCGTTTCGCATGCTTTGCGGGGCGCACTGGCGGAAGCCGCAAGGGGGGACGGCCGTCTCGGAAGGCGGATGTGGATGGTGGCCCCTTCAGGAGGCGCGGGGGTTTCTCAGAGGGCGGAGAGGCACCTTCTTAGAAGCCCCGCCGCTCTCTCAGAAGCCCACCCGCGCGTCGGCACGGAGAGGGAGGAGGAGGAGAAGGAGGAGGAGGAGGAAGCGGAGGAGGAGGAGGAGGAATAATCATAAGAAGAAGACGAATACCATGCTATTATAAGAATACGACTATGACTATTAAGAAGACGACGCATACTACTACGCCGAATACGAATAATATGAATATCAATCAACGTATGAATAATAATACTACTAATAGTAATAATAAGCAGAGCGCAATAATAAGATGATTCAGGCTAATACGCATAATGAGCATGATACGAATACCCAGAATAAGAACACTAACAATAATCATAATAAGAACAGTGGTCATACTAAGAATCACAGTGGTAGGGGGACTACATAAGACGAGTATTAGTACTCAGCAGAATAAAGCTACTGCTGCTACTACTACTACTACTATTACTACTACTACTATTACTACTACTACTGCTACTACTACTACTACTACTACTACCACTACCACTACTACTACTACTACTACTACTACTACTACTACTACTACTACTACTACTACTACTACTACTGCTCATACTACTTCTACCACTACTACTACTACTACCACCACTACTACTACTACGACGACGACGACGACGACGACGACGACGACGACGACGACGACTACTACTACTAACTACTACTACTACTATACTACTTCTACACTACTACTATTACTTACTACTACTTACTTTACTACACTACTAATACTACTACTACCACTACTACTACTACTACTTACTGAATACTACTACTTACTATTACTTACTACTACTACTATTACCTACTATACTACTACTACTATACTACTACTACTACTACAAAGAAGAAAAGGATGATGATGAGGAGGAGGAGGAGGAGGAGGAGGAGGAGGGAGGGGGATGGGGAGGAGGGAAGAGGAGGAGGAAAGGCGTTGAGGAGGGAGGAGGAAGGCGTGAGGCGGGAGGAGGGAGGAGGGAGGCGGGAGGAGGGAGGAGGGAAGAGGGAGGAGGGAGGAGGGAGGAGGGAGGAGGGAGGAGGAAGGATGTAGAAGGGAGAAGGGAGGAGGGACGAGGGAGGAGGAAGAGGTAGAGGAGGAGGAGGAGGAAGAGGAGGGATAGTAATAATGATAATGGTACGGATGTGAACAGTACGAAAACAGACTAATACGATGAAGACGGACGAATTATACGATGAAGACGACAACTAAGACACGCAATACTAATACGACGAATCATACTACCAATCATACTAATAATACTACGGATGCTAATATTAAGAATACTACTGGCACGAATAAAAGGAATAACATTGCGACGGCTAATATTACCACAAAAAAGGAGAAGAGGAGGTGGAGGAGGAGGAGGAGGAGACGGATGAGGAGGTTGAGTAGGAGGAAGAGGCGGAGGAGGAGGAGGCGGAGGCGGAGGAGGGGGAGGAGGAGTCGGAGGAGGAGGAGAAGGAGGCGGAGGCGAAGGCGGAGGTGGAGGAGGAAGAGGAGGGGGAGGAGGAGGAGGAGGAGGAGGAGGAGAGAGGAGGAGCAGGGGGCGCGGAGGAGGAGGAGGGAGGAGGAGGAGGAGGAGGAGGAGGAGGAAAAGGAGGAGGAGGAGGGTGGGCGTGAGGCGGCGGCGGGCGGCGGCACACAGAGGGTTGCGAGCGACAGCGGCTCGAGCGTCAAAAGACTGGCAGTCGCCAGCTCCTCCACCTCCTCCTCCTTCTCCTCCTCCTTTTTCTGCCCTCCTCCTCCTCGCCCTTCTCCTCCTCCCCTTCCTTCTCCTCCTCCTCCTCCTCCTCCTCATCCTCCTGCTCTTCCTCCTCCAGCTCCAGACCCCTCTCCAGTCCCTGAGGCGAGCATCGCCAGTTTTAGAGGTGAGCAGCGCCAGTTCCGGAGGTGAGCAGCGCGGGTTCCAGGTTTCGGGCAGGAGATCGGCTACATAATTTAGATTTACCCCAGATTTGCCCGTCGGCTCTACGAACAAAATGCGTCGAATGCTTGTACTTCTGCATCCATTCGACGTATTTGTCTTGTGGATTCCACGAACATTCTAATGTTGGGGTTATTCAGTCAATTCTGCAGTCGACCCCCTACTCGAAGATCGCTGTCCCCCCCGAGCCAGCCCTCTACTCGAAGATCACTGTCCCCCCGATCCTGTGGCCCTCAGCGCTGGGAGGAGTCGAGCCCGGGCCTCCCCTTCCCCTCCCCCTCCTCCCCATGGTCCTCCTCCTCCTCCTCCTCCTCCTCCTCCTCGTCCCAAGCTCACAGCAAAGCTGAGCTAGCCAAGAATCCGGCATCTCGTGTTTAAGCGAGCGCTTTCCCCGACCTGGTCGCCACATCCAGAACTTTAGAACTCCCTCTTCCCCCCCTTCTCCCGCACTCCCCCGCTCTCTACTCCCTCCTTCCTCCATCCTCCTTCCGACCTGCCCCGTTCTCCCTCCCGCCTCCCTCCTCCGTCCTCAGCGGAGGTGGGCAGGCAACTTTCGCCTGAGACGTCTTCGCGCCCCTGACCTCGGGAATGTTCAGAGCTGCGGTGGCCAGACCAAGTTCGCCCGAGACGTCCTCGCAACTCTGGCCTCGGAGATTCACTGCCCCATGGTGGTCGGGCCACTTTCGCCCGAGACATCCTCGCAACTCGGGGTTCCAAGATGCCCCGAGCTCAGAAGTTCGGGCCATTTTCGCATGAGACTTCCTCGCACTTCTGACATCGAGGATATTTCGCCCCATGTTGGTCCTGCCACTTTCGCCTGAGAACACCCGGCAACTCAGGGTTCTGGTAAGTATGTCCTGAGCTGAGGTGGTCAGGCCACTTTCGCCTGAGACATCCTCGCAACTCTGACCTCGGAGATGCCCTGCCCCCTGGTGCTCCATCCACTTTCGCCTGAGACATCCTCGCAACTTTGGGTTCCAAGATGCCCCGAGCTCAGAAGTTCAGGCCACTTTCGCCTGAGACATCCTCGCAACTCTGACCTCGGAGATTCACCGCCCAATGGTGGTCTGGGCACTTTCGCCTGAGACATCCTCGCAACTCAGGGTTCCGAGATGACCTGAGCTGCGGTGGTCAGGCCACTTTAGCCCGAGACACCCTCGCGTAATACGTCATCCGAGCGCTGGACACATCCCTGTGTTTTATTGGTGCTGTCGTCAGCCACATCCCTTACTTGAATATTATCTTGCCGCTCTATAGCCACATGCGGTTCCCCTCGTTCCCCTCGCTCCTTCCCTCATTCCTCTCTCCCCTGGCCTTTTTCCTCTCTATTTGTTTCCCTGCCCCCCAACCGGATTTGCGGGCATGCGCTGTACACTTTCGGAGTTTGTCCATACTGTGCATCGGACTGTGTGGCATGTGTGCACATGTGCGGCCATGCTATGGAGGCCTTTGCAGAGTTGCACAGGCATGTGCATGCGACTGTGCGGCATGTGCGTGTATGTGCGGCCCCTTGCGTCTCCAAAACGAAGTGAGCATTATAGGAATGAGCACTCATGGGAGGGCTCTTGGAGGCTAGTGGGGCGTCGTGGGGGGCCATCTCTGGCGTCTAGGACTAATCGTTCTGCGATTCGGGGGGCACTCTTGGCCCGTATTGTTTTTTTTTTCCGCCCGGAGACCGCCCGAGGGGGATGGTATTCTGACCCGTGACCCCCCCCCCTTCTTCCCCCCCCCCTCGGACGTGGGGGAAGGATCAAAGGGAAGGGGCTTCCCTTCGAGTCACTACGACGTTGCTCAAGTTCGATTCGGTTTCTGGCAATCTCGCTGGAGGAGAAGGACCCAGTGACTGCGGCGACGACGACGACGACGACGATGGTTTCGACGACGACGACGAAGACGAGTCACACAGAACAGTGTTTCCTTCACGCCTGCAGTGCGGTGGATTCTTTTCTGCTTTCAGACAGTTAGCAGTTGTGCTCTCGCTGGTGTGTCTGTCATATTTCATGATCACCAGGGAGCCTTCGTCCAGCGTGGCGACGCTGTCGCCGCAGCGGTTGCAGCGGTGGTTGTATCTCGAATGCAGTCGGAACGTTCTATGCTAATGAACATCGGTGCTCTCGCTGGTGCGTTTTCCGTATCTTCTCCGTCCAGAGGATCGACGTTGTCGCCGCAGCTGTGGCAGTGGAGGTCGTATTGTTGCATCGGTGAACATGTTGATCCAGCTGCTGGTTTTTCCATCGATCTCCAATGGGTCGGTGCTCTCGTCGCAGCCCCGACCGTAGGCCTGCACCAGCAGAAGTGGTGTTCCCACGTGTACCGCGTTAGTTTCCATAGCACATCCGGCGCCGCAGTGCTGGTCGCTCCCTGCTTCTGCCTTTGCTCTCGGTATCTCGTTTGATCTCGGTATCGATCGGTCTCACCGCCCGTCGGGTGCTTGCGGCACGATGGTGGGTTGTCATTACGTTTTGTGTCTTTCTCCTCCTCCTATCTTCCGTTCTACTTCCTCCCTCTGCTACCCCACCGCCTCTCCTCCCTCAGCCCTTCGTGCCCATCCCTCCGCCCTCCTTCCAGGTTCTTCCTCGTCCATCCTCCTCCCCCCCCTTGCTGGCACCACTCCTCGCCCCCCCCTCTCCTGCTCGCTCCTGTTCCTGCTTCCACGGCTGCTCCTCCTCTTTCTCCGCTTTCTGCGCTCCTCTTGATTGGCATCGCCACGTCTCCATGCCAATCTCAAGGATTCCCTCAGTTTCCGAGGGCGTGTCCCTAGTTTTGCCATTGTCTTTTTACTTACCAATCCTAGGGGTGGGATAATCGAATAAGAAACATACGACATAAACATAATCTCTCGGCGCCCCTGGCAGCGCCTCTGGCGCCGCCCCTGGCGCGCTCCGTGCGTCAGGGAGGGGGTCCAGCGCAGACCCAAGAAGTCTGTGCGGAGTTCTGGAAGTTTATGTTTGTGCCGTGTCTTCTGGATCAGTTCGAGGCTGGTGATCAGCTTCCCCGTTCTCGATCTCGCGCTGCTCGTTCGTGCCAATCGTGCTGCTCGCACCTCGCTCGGAGTAGCCTAGTTGGGCATGAAGCACCGCGCGGGCTCGCATGCTTTCGCAA